AATATACAACGCACTAAGGATTGATGAGCTGCTGGGTTCATGAATTTATTCACATTGTCAGCGTTCGCTTGAACTGATTTGCTGAAATCAAAACAGGGACCATAATAGATGAGGGCCAGCCAATGAGATTGCCGTTTGTGCATTAGCTCCGCCCACGACCGGAGAAACTGGTATATCTTCTGCTTGTTCTTAAAAGCTGAATAATTCCAAATGAACTCCTTTATTCTGACAGGAAAATACAACAAAGAATATGGTTTACATGTAGCGCGTCGATTCAGAGTGGTATGTAAGGCTGTCGCTCTCTCGCTCTCTTTGCACGTGTGAGAAACAGCGCTATCAGCAAAGCGACGGCGCCTTCACACTAGAGTTTACGGTGCGTCAAATACAAGTACACTGCGCATCCATTGAGATGAACTGAAAAAGTACAGATCGCTTAATGGAGAGTGAAACTCTGAAGCGCTCAGTAAGTGTTCAGCAAGTGAAAATATACCTACGCTAAATTTATAATTAACCTCTAACACACACTGGCGAGTAAAATCTAAGAATTTATTAGCCAATGGCTAGATTTGGTCGAGTTGCGAGTGATTTACTGGTAATGTAGAGGGTTGGGGTAGAATCTTTAATCTCTGACTCAGTTTGTTTGCTGGCTTCCATGGCTAAAATACATGGTTTTTCACCAACTGGCAACCCTGGTGTGGAAATCCTATTGCAGTGGTTCTCAATTCCAGTCCTCGTGACCCCCCATTCTGCACATTTTGTATGCGTCTCATCACTTCAGACGTTTGTTCTATTAGACCGTAAGTGCCCTGCGAAGTGGACTTCACAGGATATTCTGCCGTGATTCCAGTTCAAAGGGAGCGAATGTGTCCCATTCAGAGGGCATTAAATTATGCAAGATGTGAATTTAAATTGTATTTATTTACAGAGATATATTATGACTTCTCTAGTAAGTTTTGTCTGTGTGTGAAGACACTGCAGATTGTGGCGTAGTGCAAGTCTGTGAATGAATGGTCCGAAGTGGAATGAATTTCTCGTGCTCAGGGAGTAGGGAGCAATGAACACGGTGTAGGGACCCTATCAATGGGAACACAGTTCATACATGGAGCTC